AAGTAGGTGCTTTAGACCACTGAGCCATCTCTCCAGCCCCAGGAATCAAATTTTAAAAAGTGTGCAACTCAAAAAACAGAGCCGAGGAGAAAGCTCAGCAGTCTAAGCATCTGCCTAGACAAGCAAAGGACCTGGATTCAATCCCCAGCGTACTACATGCCATGCCAGCAGTCCCAGGTACACCCAGCCAGCCACTAAGACTCTGATGGAGCACGCCTGAAAGCCCAGAGCTGGGGAGGCTGAAACGGGAGGAACAGTAGAGTCCGAGCTGCACAGTAAGATGCTGTACCTAATACAGAAAATAAATAAACTTTAAAAAACCAAATGAAAAAGGTGAGCAAGGTCAGCGAGACAGCTCAGCAGACTAAGTGCCTGCTTAGGCAAGCACAAAGACTGGGGTTCAATCCTTAGCCTCATAGGCCAAGCCAGCCCCACCTCTGCGTGCACTGAGCTGGAAACCAGAGACTGGGTGCAGTAGCTCAGGCCTGTAAACCCAGTGCTGGGAGGGTGAAAACAGGGGGATCACTAGGAGTTTGAGCTGCATAGTGAGACCCTGCACTAAATACACAAATAAAATAAATAAAAAAGTAAGCAGCTGCCCAGTGCGGTGGTTCATACCCATAATCCCAGCACTCAGGAAGCTGAGGCAGGAGAATTGCTGCAAATTCAAAGCCACCTTTGCCCATTTAGTACCTGTAAGGCCAGCCTGAACTACATAGCCAAGACCCTGTCTCAAATAATGACCCCCAAAAGCAAGCAACTTTATTTATGTGAATAACTTACTGCTAAAGATGACATATCCGGGACTGCAAGAAGAGCCAAGAGTGGGTCAATTGCACCATATTTGATAACCAAGTCTCGGAAAACTGAACCATCACCTGAAGAAAAATAATCAACATTAAGCAGCTGGGGATATAGTTCAGAGATAAAAAAGAGCATTTTCCTGGCTTACACAAAGCCAGGTTCAATCACTAGGTATGACATGAACAGACAAAAAAGCAAGATCAATCACATCTACTTTTCTAGCACCACCTATGTTCAGGACTGAATACACTATCAGAAGCTCCCCAACTTATTTAGATGCCTCTCTGGTGCCTTTTTCAGATCCTTCTCTCATCCCTAAAAAGGGCTTGAAGAAAGCTCCAAATGTGACACCAAGGTCACTATTACTTAAAAACATGGCTCCTCTCCTATCCCATTATGATTAGATACATTCAGACCAAAGAATTTAAGTGCAAGTACCTGCAATGTTTCCCAGTGCCCAGACAGCCTGCTCACTGACATGAGCATGGGGAGACACCAAGAGGGAAATGAGAGCCAGGATGACCCCTCCGTCCACCACAGCCTTGGTCTGCTCTGACGACCCAGAAGCAATGTTAGTGAGTGCCCAAGCAGACTCAAACTGGATGGGACTACAGTCACTTCTG